GTAACATCAATTGTACATTCTCAAACTGCACCACTTAGAACTAACTAAACAATGCAGAGATTATTTTGATATCATTTTATTCAATAACCGTAAGAAATTCAACAGTATGAAGTGATTTGTAAATAGGAATACAGATTTGACTTAATGTTTTCATAAATATATTTTTCTTCCAGTTTGACTATTATTACCCTCTCAAAGAACCGGAATTGAGAACCGAAAATAACCGGAATCGAAAAGCAGAACCGGAATCGTTAAAATCCAAACGATACCCAACCCTATGTGTGATGCAGTAAAATCTTACCGCTCACTTACGTTAGCGGTGTCGTAAAAACCGTGGGAAAATGTAAAATACGATGGCGAAGAAGAAAATTCCAGTGGCCCCAATTTTTGTCCATTCTGGACAAGTGAAAAATGTATTCGGAACAAGTACAATGCCAAACTCACTTGTCCATGGACAAGTACTCTCTAAAAACTTTTTCTCACACTGATTCATACAGAGCAGTGTACCTTACTCTAGGACCTAACATTCACACATATTCACACACCGTTGGCCATGCCATCGGGAGCAACTCAGGGTTAAGTATCTTACCCAAGGATACATCGACATGTTGACTGCATGGGCTGGATCGAACCCACAACCTTCTGGTTGAAAGACGACCACATTCCCTCGTAGCGACAGTCACCCTAATAACAGTTTATGCTGCTCTGATAGCTCCTTTTTTATCTAAAAAGGTTTTTCTTGAATATCAAATAAACAAGTTATAAGTGTAGTAGATGGTTGGAAAACTGAAATGTTTTAAAAACTGCAGCATTGTTCTCTTTATATGCTGATACTAGGACTGTTTCATTTATTTGTATGCTTTAACAGCCTTATGGGTGCTTTATTATTTGAATGCTCCCTAAATACCTTTTGAATTTAAGAGATATTAGAGTTTTACTTTGGAGTACAGGGAAATGTATTTTTTACAAACCCAGGGAACGTGTTTCAGCTTTTAGCGTAATCTCAACTAAAAGAAAAGTGCAAGGATGATGACTAGTACCAAAAAGACTCTTGACTGAAGTACATGAATACAAGTCCTTCTATCATGAAAACTGAACACTTTCAGATGTTATAGTCAAATCATGTCTCGTGTGGCAGAAGAGCGAATCATAGCTCTGCTAGTGGGGTTAGATTGGGGTCACAAGTTGAAAAAAGGTGACATATGCTGTTCTGATCAAGAGTTTAAGGCAAGAAAGGGAACATCAGGATGGGTGTGAAGAGCGAGGAGTTTAAAAAAGGCTGTAGAGAGCAACTCGCCACAAATTACACAACATCATATCCTATATTATTAGATAACCTGCTGGCTTGTTTGTGTACATTTTTCTCTCCATGCTCCAAAATGAGAGTAATTCTTTTTTTAAATGTTTGTAGATATTTATCTTCAGGTTGTACAGCCCCGGCTGCTCGGCTTTGTTGACGGTGTTTAAACGGTTTGTGCAGAGCGTGCCGACGCCTCGGGCTCTGGGCTTGAAAACAATCACTCTTGTTTATGTTAAGCCTTTTCCTCTGCTTGCTGTGTTTGGGGAAGTGTGTGTTATAGAACAGGATATAAAGAACCAGGGTCAGCTACACTAGGGCAGGAAATAATTAACCAACAATACTCTTGGGGTGAAGGACTGTGTGGCAAGGCCCTGTGGTGTGATGCATTCAAATGAAAGCCTGGCGAAAACTGGATTACTGAGAAGGTTATTTTTGTTTTTTATTAAAGAACTGTGGCCAAGATATGTACGAAGTAAGACATTTACAGAAGAATTAAAGTGCCTGACATTCTCTGGAGAAATTATGAAACGTACAAATAAGTGTAAATAAATTGGTCCTTCACCTGACTTGATTTAATACATTAAGTTCAAGGCTTTTTGTTGTCATGTGTGCATAGCTACAGTTATGACAATGAAAATCTTAGGTCACAGGCTCTTCCAACAGTGCAACACAATAAAACAGATAAAATAGCACAAGCATAAGAATACATCAATATAGAATAATAGAAACAGAATATGATAGAAACTGTGCAGATAAGTATACATTACAGTATATTGAGTTTTATTTTAATATGAACATAAAACCCCTCCGTTTTAAATGTTTCAACTAAACCTCAACATTTTGAAGTTTTGAAGAATGGGTGGAGATGTTGTTACTTATAACAATGTATCATGATGGAAGACGACAATTTAAGATGAGTTAAGAATTAAAGTCATCACATCTATAGTTTATTTCACAGTTAAAGATACTTGTCCTCAGTGTTGTTTCCAGAAACAAACATTACCCTAAACAGTCAAAGTGTAAGCTATGGTTGCTGAATTTCGTTTCATGTGATCTTACTTTATTCGACAGCAGCATGCTTTGCTATATTAAAAGATTAAATGATTCTGCGCTCATGATTATTGGTTTTGTTCACCAAATGTATACAACAAAACCCTAACCTTCACTCTGCTCATAAAGGACAATACAACCTAGTACACTGCACTGTCATGTGGGTGGGTTTATTAGAGGCCATAAATTGCACTTTGAGTCGTGTTTTTATTGGAGGCGTACAATGGACAGGAAGCTTTAGTGAAGCGTTAAAAGTTAGCTTACAATGGCCTCATACAACCTCAGAATTAAAAGGATAGATACAGTGGGGCAAAAAAGTATGTAGTCAGCCACCAATTGTGCAAGTTCTCCCACTTAAAAAGATGAGAGAGGCCTGTAATTTTCATCTAGGTATACCTCAACTATGAGAGACAGAATGAGAAAAAAAATCCAGAAAATCACATTGTCTGATTTTTAAAGAATTTATTTGCAAATTATGGTGGAAAATAAGTATTTGGTCAATAACAAAAGTTCATCTCAATACTTTGTTATATACCCTTTGTTGGCAATGACAGAGGTCCAACGTTTTCTGTAAGTCTTCACAAGGTTTTCACACACTGTTGCTGGTATTTTGGCCCATTCCTCCATGCAGATCTCCATAGAGCAGTGATGTTTTGGGACACGTCTGGCACTGCAGGATTTGAGTCCCTGGTGGCGTAGTGTGTTACTGATGGTAGCCTTTGTTACTTTGGTCCCAGCTCTCTGCAGGTCATTGACTAGGTCCCCCCGTGTGGTTCTTGTGATCATTTTGACCCCACGGGGTGAGATCTTGCGTGGAGCCCCAGATCGAGGGAGATTATCAGTGGTCTTGTATGTCTTCCATTTTCTAATAATTGCTCCCACAGTTGATTTCTTCACACCAAGCTGCTTACCTATTGCAGATTCAGTCTTCCCAGCCTGGTGCAGGTCTACAATTTTGTTTCTGGTGTCCTTTGACAGCTCTTTGGTCTTGGCCATAGTGGAGTTTGGAGTGTGACTGTTTGAGGTTGTGGACAGGTGTCTTTTATACTGATAACGAGTTCAAACAGGTGCCATTAATACAGTTAAGTGGAGGACAGAGGAGGCTCTTAAAGAAAGTTACAGGTCTGTGAGAGCCAGAAATCTTGTTTGTTTGTAGGTGACCAAATACTTATTTTACCGAGGAATTTACCAATTAATTCATTAAAAATCCTACAATGTGATTTCCTGGATTCTTTCCCCCCATTCTGTCTCTCATAGTTGAAGTGTACCTAGGATGAAAATTACAGGCCTCTCTCATCTTTTTAAGTGGGAGAACTTGCACAATTGGTGGCTGACTAAATACTTTTTTGCCCCACTGTACTTTAGTGAAACAAATACTGTAGCACAATCTCCAAAGGTAAACAAAGGATAGTTTTCACATGGTGTGTGTGGTGTAGTTCCTCACACAACGCTTGTTAGTTTGGTGTAAAATTGAGTTAGTCTTGGCACCACTTGGGGAGCTATCAGTAAAGTACAGTTTCTTAGACATTATAGATGTCAGGAAACAATAGCCACAGAAAAGTATAGCAACAATCAATGTTGTTTTAATTAAAGATGTCTCTTATCAAGTATCTTTTCCTCTCTGCTTTGAGTTTCACTTTACTGGCCAACAAAATGTCACAATCTGTGATCTGTATCTAAGGTTTCATCTGATGGTTTTAATGGGTCAACTTCCTGGTTTTGGAAGAAAACTATTGAGTATGAAAATAACAGTTTGTCTTCTCAGTTTTCTGGTTTCCCCTTGAACTAGAGCTGCATAACAATTGACAAAATGTAATTTAGAAGTAATTTTGATGGATGTTTAAGTGTGGCTCAGAATGCAAAAAGGCCACAGCAAATACATTAGTATTATGAGAAAAACCTGGCAGTGAAGTGGATTTAAGTTAAGCTTTTGTTATAGAGCATCTTAACACCTTTCTCACTAACTCTGTGTGTAGGTGTTTTTGCAGAAAGACTCCTTTGTGTATTTTTAAACATGAATATGAAGCTATTTTTAAGCATTATTTATTTGTGGGCAGACTGTAAACATCTGATCACACTGTTGTTGTATTCCTTTACACTATAATTTACTTTCCTCGCTTATACAACCTTTTGACTCTCTAATCTACTGAAACTGCCGTTCCTACAGCTTTTAAAACCCATATAGTATTGCATGTGTAGGAGGTGTTTTATAACAAATGCTATACAGTGATAAATTCTCCAAATGACATAAAGATGGTATTATTTGATATAATGCTAGGCAGCATGTGTTGGAAATCAATGAGCAATTGCATTCAAAAACTATAATTTTGATGAAAAATCTGCCAATGATATATTATTTTAACTATATTTTTACAGATTTTGAATGGAGAGCAAAGCAACATTAGAAGGGTGGGGCTCTGCAAAACTATTGTTTTCAATTGACTTTTTACATTAGAAATCAAACTTTTTCCAATTTCTCGTTCTGTTTATTAATTGTGTCCTCTTTTCTCACTCTTTCTTTCCTCGCTACACCTCTCTTTTTTCCCTTATCATAAAACCATTCCCCTCCTCCTCCTCCTCCTCTCCCCTCCTCCTCCTCTCCTCCTCCTCCTTCCTTTCTCTTCCTCTTCCTCCTCTTCCTCCTCCTCAGGGCATCAGCAGTCTGTTCAGCTCTCTGAAGGTGGTCCGCCTGCTGCGTCTGGGCCGTGTTGCTCGGAAACTGGACCACTACCTGGAGTACGGAGCTGCTGTTCTGGTGCTGCTGGTGTGTGTGTTCGGACTGGTGGCTCACTGGCTCGCCTGCATCTGGTAAACTATTTTTAGATATTTCCTCACAGTTTAGAGCTGTTAAACACACCTGCTAGCTGCTGGGAATGTACCCATCTTCTATATTGTTCCTAATTGGATATATATGCTAAACATTTCTGCAGCCCTCCCCACCTGTACTGAAATCACAAAGCATCTGCTGCTGTTCTGCTGACTACAAGCTTTGTTTAATTTCCTCCATACAGTATCAGGTGATTTGCTAATCATTTGTGCCCTATAGCAAACCATTTCTGCTTCCCTAAAACACAAAATCCCTTCTCAATTATTCCTTAATTGCAAATACTCCAAATCAATAACACTAAACACAACAGCAATATTTTGTAGCCATTACTGCTCCATTTAGGGTCATTCTAACTCCACATGCATTTCTAAACAGAGCAACGCAGTCGGGGGTAAACATTGGAGACATTCTTATTTACTCCTGGGCTGTTACAATACTATGCTCGTAAAGTTATAGGTGCATCGCAGCAGATCCATTTACAACATCCACAAGAAAAATATGTAAGACAAGAAAGACGGTAGATCTTACGGGTCTTAAGGTGGATAGTTATGCTTGCTCTGCTTTCATACCTGAACACACTAACATGTAGATGCTATCCTCAACAGGTACAGCATCGGAGACTACGAGGTCATCGACGAGGCCACCAACACCATCAAGATGGACAGCTGGCTGTACCAGCTGGCTCTCAGCATCGGATCGCCTTACCGCTACAACGCCAGCGGTTCTGGCCAATGGGAGGGCGGCCCGGGCAAAGACTCTCTGTACATCACCTCTCTGTACTTCACCATGACCAGCCTGACCACCATCGGGTTCGGAAACATCGCCCCCACCACAGACGGGGAGAAGATCTTCTCCGTGGCCATGATGATGGTGGGATGTAAGTACGAGATACAGCTGATTTGAGCTTTTGCTGTGCAGTGACTCTGCTGTTTTGTGTTTTTTTTGGTGCATTTCAGAGTGAAATGACTGGTGGATTTTGCTTTAGTGCCTTGCAATGTGTGCATATACTGAAAGCTAATCCACTTAGGGAGCTGCTCTTAGGGTCTTATATATTCATAATAATGATATGCTGTGTGAAAGTTGTTGGGTCTTTCATATGCTAGTATTTTACTGTTGAAGTTGTCGCAAAATTAAGTTGAATATCAATGATCCAAAGCAGATGTTTTCTCATGATCTGGTGTCTTTTTTGACCCTTCATGTTACTCCAATAACAGGTCAAATGATCATTTGAACACACTGAATAGGGTGTGCAGATTTCCAAGTGATGTAAAGAGCACATTCAAGCTCCTGAGAGGATGAACACTTGGCGCATTAAGAGAATTGGTTACAGTGTTTCAAAATGATGCCGCAGTAGGTGCATGCGTTGCGATTTTGGGCGTATAGAGCTTGCTTTTGTCTTGCCTTTAAAGGAAAAGCACAGGCGTTACTAATAACTTTTAATACAGACATCTGCGTGCAAAAACATGTTCTCACACAATCTTAACGTGCCAACAGCACATGTGTGAAATTTGTGGGTGTACACAAACACCCGGTATAGTAAAAGCAAAAACATGTAGTGTAAATGCACAAGCAATGTTCTGTAGTATATCAGTGCACTAAGAATAGAACATTTTAATCATTTCCCATGACAGCTTTTTCCTGCTGACCACACACCACCACCACTACTACTCCTGCTGTCTAATATAAACTGCAGCTTAAAGTCAGTTTTTCTCCATTAGCTCCCCTGAAAAGTCATATTCCCATTAGGACACTTTGAAGTGTGACACCTGCTGTACCACAGCTGCGTACAGTTTGTTGTTTGTGTAAATGTGTGTTTTTAAAGGATAATAATTACTATAGCTTATCTTACTGACCACCCACACAACTTGTACTTGTGCTTAAAGGCCACTTGGATCTTTAAAGTCTCCTAAAAAATAAAATTCCCATCAGGACCCTTTAGAGTGTGACACCACAAACTCTTTTTATTGTCGATTACTCTTTATGGAAATATTGCAGTGGGTTCAATGGAGAAAGTGAACTGGAGAATTGTTGTGAATTTGTTTTCACTTTGTTCGGAGGCTGCACAGATCTGCACAGCAGGCGACATCGTACTGGTGATGAAAGCAGCATAAAACTGTACTAAATAACAGAAGAGAGCATGTGACACACATAATTAATGGCACACTGTGCTTCCTGTGGTTTAGTGAGGAATCATCTGAACAAATGAGGTAGCAGCAGGATATTTATGGATGAGTGGAGGTGGAGAAATGTATATAAAATATATATTGGCCATAAAAGATATGGCTTTTACTCGTCTTACAAGAAATGTCTGTGTCTGAATAAGTATCTGAACTGTAAATTCTTTAATAGTTTAGATTTGAAGAGAAATACATGTTCATCTCATCTTTCAGCTTGTTGAACAATTTAACAAATTACCTTTGGTGACATTGGGATTTGTGTCCTAACCCAGATCTCAAATTATTTGTATCTCCCCAACTCTTGCAATAATTCATACCTTTTTAGAACTATATTATATTTAGACACGGTATTGAAAAAATAAATATTTTTTTAGCAATCCTATTTCTTATCTAGAAATAGGATTGCTGTCCTTCCTTCCTTCCATGGTTTGTT